CCCCCCACCCCCCCCCCACAGCCTAGTGGTCGCTCCATTTCCTGGAGGACTAACTGGGTCATCGCGGCTGCTTTTACCCTGAGTGGATTCTGACCCCCCGTCAGGGCAGTAATTACACGTGCGTCCACACAAAAATTAACACGGCTGTGACGCCACTAAGACAATAGGTGCGTCAAAAGCCCTCTCTTCAGATGATGAGGTGCATGTATTATTGATCAGAGGTCAAGCAGGGTCACTTTCCCAACAGAGGCCTGAGTGTTTCCTGCCCTGTGTCACGTTGACAGGCCGCGATCAACAGCTGACACACTGACACTATTTTGTTTTGTTTTTCCTCCGTCATAGCTTCCTGCACCCCCCGCTGGGAAATCTACACTCTCCTGACAATGGCAGCGGTAAGTAGTCACCACGGCTGGACATCACATGGACATGAATGAGGTGCAGGACTTGGACTCTGGACCAGGTCTGTCCCGCATGGTCCTGCAAACAGGATAATGATGTCACCGCAGCAGGACTTTTAGTGTCGGGCGACATTGATTTTGATACTAAAGCCTCGGCCGTTCTTCCAACGGGCAGGGGTCAGTCTGAACCAGGGGTCACCCATGTGGTGCCCCTGCTGTTGAGGCTCAGCCGAACTTCAAACAGTGACAACTGTTGTTCTCACTGTTCTCAAGTCAACTTAGCTCCATGGCTACGTTCCTGTTTTGCCTTTATAAATACAAACATCGTTGCCCCCTCTGGTTATCTGCTGGTGTGCAAATGCTAATCACAAAGTACTGTGGTTCACGGGAACAATAAAGCCACTGCTCATATTCAAATGTTACAACAGTGAGTGTGAAAATACCCAAATACGGCCTTCAGGCGACTGACCTTTTAACCTTTTAAAGGGGCACTGGCTTTTAAATATGAATTTTATATATATATATATACAATAAATAAAATAAAATAAAGGCAGAGGTCAGCATGAGTACAGAAGAACACAACATCGTACACATCTGATTGCGTGCAGGAAATGTCGTCGCTTAGAATGATTTATCTGCAAGAAATATCTCGCAATAAACGCAAACAAATAAAATTAAAAAAAAACATTTTTTTTCAGTGAGAGTTAAGATGTGAATACAGTGACACTCCTGGGTTTACCTACAACTGCCCTTATGTTGAAAATGTAATACTGCCCCCGGTGGAGACCTGACGTAACCGCAGACAAACAAATAAGCAGATGTGAACTTTAATGCCTGACAACGGCGACCGTGAAAAGTTGGACAAACTCGGTCCAACACTTGAGCGTGAAAGTTCCACTGAAGTCACAGCTCTGAACATCGTCGTGTGTTTTCTGCGTTCATTCTTTTTTTTTTTTCATTTTCAGATTGGAAACCGTGGAACAGTGAAGGAGGCCGCTGGTTTTGACCCAGAGTCCGATGTCAAGAAGCTGCGAGAAGCCATGAAGGGAATGGGTGAGTGAACCGACCAATCGAACTGTAGGAAAAAAAAAATAATACTAACCTGAACTCCGACGTCTAAAAGATATTTTTCTAACTTAATTAACGTCAACGTTACATTTTCTGCCGTCCTCGTCCTTTTTTTTCGTGAAGGACTTTTTCCTGTTTGTGCTGATGCGTAGTTTCAGTTTGCTGATGATGCAGGAAGTGGTGGCAAAGTGAGTCTCATTATGGCCGTACTACGTACGAGCAGGAACGTAGTACTTAACCAAGTACTTACAGAGTTGAATTCATCCAGGGTGTGACGGCTCTGGTCCATCAGGAGTTCTCCTCCTGGACCGCGGGAAGGGCCCTGACCACAGGTTTAAATGTTTCATGTCACTTATTTCATTAACAAATCACATTCAGGGCAGAGAGTAATTTAACCCTGACTCTGGCAGAGGATTTTAACGACATCTGTGTCTGGACCAGTCACGTCTGGACAACGAGGTCAGAAGGTTTTTACTCAGAAATACTAGAAGTATATATATATATGTATATATACTATATATATACATATATATATATATATATATGTAACTTTTGGGGTAACTGATATTAGGGTTAAGTATATTATATGTAAGAATCGTCCGATCATGTAAACCTGATAACACGATGCCTGGGTTTTGCCAAATGATGTGCAACCTAAAAAATAGTTTTGGGGAAAAACAGCTGTATATGAAAGTGAAAGACACTAGGTGGCAGCATTGCAGCTCATTTTATCAATCTATTTTAACAGTGGTTTGTACAGATAAATAAATAAATATTACCAGGTGCTTCCCATTTCAATTTAGGGGAACAGGGGGGGGGAGGAACGTTTGTCCCCTAGGGGGAGACATGTCAGAAAATAATTAAGAAACACTGCTTTAACCCATCGCCTTAGTGAGCAGGCTGCACTTAACCTCCTTAACCACCAGGGCACCACTGCCCAGCTATATCGGTATCGGTTGATGTCGGAATCGGACATTAAGCGTTTGGACGATATAAGTTATAAATACGACTTAATCTCTGCCGGATTGGATTAATACCGTGGACGAGCGTCCAGCTACACCCGCGTGACAAATGCAGGGACAACAGTCAAACTTCACTGGTCTCACGTGGACCCTGGTCTGGTCTCCTGGTCTAACAAACTCCTCCTGACTCCTGAGTCTGAGTTCTATTAAACACAGATGGTGTTCATTAGAACCATCTCCAGTTTGTGGACAACAACAACAACAACCTCAACCTCAGTTGGACTGAAAAAATCAACAATCAAATTCAACATTCTTGTCTCACAGGCACTGACGAGGCCGCCGTCATCGATGTGGTGTCTCACCGAACCATCGCCCAGAGGCAGCGCATCAAAGAGGCCTACAAACAAGCAGTGGGGAAGGTAAGAAAAAAAAAAGGTCAGTTTTTTGGCAGTGAACAAACAAAAGTATGAAAAGACGGAGGACGTTCGTGTTCACTGCCTGAAACAGCAGCACAAACTCTCCTTTGTTCCCTTTCGCCTCCATCACGTCTCTCATCACTTCTGCAGTTTGGATAGAATTTAACTTCGCTAACGAGATAGCAACACAGTGACGGTTAATTCTTAAAAAAAAACCCACGTCTCTGTAATTCATTTAGAACGAGGAAACAGTCACTTCTTCATCCATAAAACCCTCTCTTTGTTTCTTTATCAACCGGTCAATAAATGAACCGTGGGACGTTGGTGTATTGACAGAGTGAGACGGTGATAAGCCCGCGGTGCGCTGTCCAGTAAGCGGTCGATAAAGTCAACTGGAAGTTCCTCTCGGAACGCTGCTGCAGCAGACACAGCCGGGACTGTGGGGCAGAAAGAGTGAGTCATGAAACTGCTGGAGACGCCCACGTGTGGTCACACGGAGTGACTGCGTGGAACAACTTCTCTATTCACCAGGAAACGGTTGATCCTCGGCAGGTTGTGCTCCGTCTGCGAGAGACTAAAAAAAAAGAAAAACCAGATTGAACAGTGACCCTTTTTTTAACTTTTTAAATTTTATTTATGTATTTTTGATCCCACTCTTCTTGTCCTGACCTGCAGGACCTGGCTGAAGATCTGTCCTCAGAGCTGAGCGGCAACTTCAAGAGTGTAGTCCTAGGTCTGTTGATGCTGCCCCCTGTGTACGACGCCTATGAACTGAGAAATGCCATAAAGGTCAGTGTCGTCCAACCACAAAAAATGTCCAAAAATAAATAAAAATAAAAATAATATGTATATGTATGTTTTGATACATATATTTATATATGTATAAAATGTCTAAAATATACATTTAATATATAAGTTTAACTAAACTGTGTGACATCAATTGATTTCAATTTGTATTTATTTAAAACGTTGACACAGTGACTTCGACCCTCATTGATAAAACATTATTAATGTTGTGACTGTTTGACTATATTTGTCTGGTTATGGTTATCGTCCGTATCCAATCAGAACGTTTCTCACATTAACTTTTAAGAATCTGCTAAAAATCTACACTCATCGTGAGATAACATTTCTTTTTTCTTATAAAAGTCAGAGTAACTCGATGTGTTGGAGCCTCTGCTTCAGGTTAATGTTGATTTGAACTTTAACCTGAACGTCACCTCAGTCCATTAACAATGAAATGTTTTATGATTTTAGTTCAGTTCAGTTTAGTTATTGTTAAACACAGTCAAAAATTCTCCGTAAACTGTATCTGCGTCAGTAAAAAAAAAAAAGAAAATGAAAAAATTATTGTAAAAAAAAAAAGTCTTGTGCAAATACAACAGTAGGTCAAACAGTTTTGAGACAGATGTTATAATTCCATATATTTTATAATCATTAAGCCTAAAGTCGAGCTTTGAGCTGAGTTAGGTTGGACTTCAAGTTTAGCCAAACTTTGAGATTAGATTTTGATCTCGCTCCTTCTGATTTTTTAAAATCGTTTTTTTCTCCAGAAAATCCACTTCAGTAACACTTTAACTGGACTCCGAATATTTATAATAATTATGAACCCGTAACCGAACCTACTGCTGTACCTCCAAAGTCTGACCTCGTCCATCTCCACGGCAGGGCGCGGGAACAGACGAGGCGTGTCTCATCGATATTCTGGCCTCCAGGTCAAACGCTGAAGTGAAAACCATCAGCTCCTTCTACAGGAAAGGTACTGACCCATCATCTGACCCATCATCTGACCCATCATCTGGGGACATCTCCCGGTGCCCGTGGGCCGGGCGTCAGGCAGGACATCTGATATGATTGGAGCTGGCCTGTGACCAAGCATTATGGGAAAACAATGAAACTGTCATCCATTATTCACAGGAGCCAGAGCTGCTCCAGAACCAGCACTTGGTTCTCGTTTGTTTTGTTAGTGACCGTCCAGTGTGTTTAAGGAAGTAACCTGCTGACTGACCGCGGTTACCGATTGGTGTCGTTAACCAGTGACTGTTCATGTCCAGTGATTTTCACTGTCCGTTCACCTTTGATCTTTGATCTGACACACACACACGTCATTTACACACCCTGCTGGAAAACATTTTTGTTTCACCAAAGCACCCGGGGGCTTAAAATACCATCGTCACGTCCAGCAGGTGGCGTTGGAAGCTTCAGCCTTAGGTCATAAAAAAAATGACATAAAAATTTTTCTAAATCTTTAATTTTTCTACTTTTGTTTTTTTTTCTTTCTTTCGTAGAATATGGGAAAGACCTGGAGAAGGACGTGTGTGGAGACACGTCAGGAATGTTCCAGAGAGTTCTGGTCTCTTTACTCTCGGTGAGTAAACACCACACTCCACGACCTCTGACCTCTGACCTCCACGTCTGGACCAGTAACAACGTCACTGAACGACGAACAATCAAATAAAAAAGTGAAATTTGTGGTTTTTACCAGACAACATCTGAGCTGAAGGTCAGAGGGTCAGGGTCAGGGTCAAGGCTAAAGGCTAAGATGCTAAGATGCTAAAATGCTTTTCTACGCCATTTAATGGTGAAATGTGGGTATTGCAGGGAAAAGTCTGAAGTAAAGTTTTGTGCTAATATAAATTAATAACATAATTTTTTGGCCATATTAAAAAGTCAAACGGGCCGCATTCGGCCCCCGAGCCATAGTTTGGTCAAACCTGGGTTAGGATTGAGGTGAACATTGACACAAACACTGGTTCAAATAAACTCTTTTAAAATAACTAATAATAATAAAACTAATTAATTTTTTTCTTTTCGTGTTTTCTACCCTGCAGGCCGGAAGAGACGAGACGGAGAAGGTGGACGACGCCCAGGCTGTTAAAGACGCCAAGGTGAGGAAGACGTGTCAAAGTGTCAAAGTGTCAGTCGCTCTGGGACCACAGACTGTGTTTAAATTAAATGTCTGTGGCTTCAGGAGATCTACGAGGCCGGAGAAGGTCGCTGGGGCACGGACGAGGTGAAGTTCCTCACCGTGCTCTGTGTGAGGAACATGAAACATCTGCTGAAAGGTACAAGCTGAGCGGTGACGTCATCACAATCTGGTTTAAAAAAACCAAAAACAAAACAGAAGTGAAAGTAGAAGAGAAGTCCGTGGGGAAATACTGACACCTTGTGGGTGTTTTGGGGAGCTACGTCTCCGGTCATGTTTTTCAGGAGGAGGTGGAGATTTTTTTGCCGATTACGATTCAATTATCGATCTTACGAATCAGTTCTATTTCTTATGGATTACCTTATCAATTAGTATTAATTATTGGATAAAAAGCAAGAGAAAAAAAAACGTACAAATTGGTTTGGAGTGAGTTTTCTTTTTTTAAGTCACATGTGACCAAATCTCACTCCTCTACTGTCTAAATAAGAGTGTGTGACGTCATCAAGTTCATACGTCGTCACACAACGATCTGTGGAATTAAACTGAACTTATATTTAAGTTGACCAACAATTTTTCCACCCCTGGTGTTATTGATTAATTATTTATCGATCTTTTTTTTAAAAATTTTTTTATCTCGTTAATTAACGTTTTCTTTCTTCATTCGCTCAGTGTTCGACGAGTACAAGAAGATCGCAGGAAGAGACATCGAGGACAGCATCAAGAGGGAAATGTCCGGCTCTCTCCAGGACGTCTTCCTGGCCATAGGTGTGTGTGTTCCAGCAGTGACCCTGAGGAACTGTTACCGTAACCGTCTCGGTCTCACGAGCCGCGGTTTTGTCCGTTTGTTTCTGCAGTGAAGGTGATAAAGAACAAGCCCGCGTTCTTCGCTGAGCGTCTCTACAAATCGATGAAGGTAAATCAATATTTATATTGATCAGTCTTTTCCAACAGGCCACGCCCCCTCCTGGCGGTCCGGACGTTTACAGGTCAACATTTGGTCTGAGGTCAGGATTAGGATTGGGATTATGACAGGATTGAAATAAGGATTAGACTTTTTTATATTTTTGGTCTCTGTATGAGGCTAAGGAACACTTCCACTCCACAAGAGGGCGTAGTCCTCCGCGCTGTGGGTGACCAATATCCGATATGCCGATATTGTCCGAACACTTAATTTCCCATCACGATATCAGCCGATACCGATATAGACCTGGTAATATTTATTTATTTATTTATCTGTACAAACCGCTGTATGAGATGAGTTAAATGAGCTGCAATGCTGCCATCTAGTGACTTTTACTTTGATATACAGCCGTTTGTCTGGGTATTTGGAGAAACCCAGACATTGTGTTATCGGCTTATCATTAGCCGAGGAAAAACTGATAACGATTCTTCCAGATATTACATAATATGCTAATATCGGTCCGATAATATCGGTCCGATAATATCAGTCCACCGATAACGTCAACGTCAAGATTCAACTCTGTGTGTTCTACTAATTTGTAAGTACCAGAAAGACTGAACTGAAGTACCTTTTGTATTTGTCGTAATACTTTCACGTGACAGAACCCGAACCCTATACAGTACTCATTTATAGTACGATTTATCCAAAAAACTTTAATCAGCGTGTTTTAATGGATAGAACTTTTTTTAAAATCTAGAATAACATAATATTTTGTCTCTGTGCCTGTGAAGTAATGCCATCTGTCTGTGAGTACCGGTACAACACGTTTTCTCAGATTATACCTTTGATTCTAACTGCTGTAAATCCAGCAGGGGGCGTGGTCTCCAGAGTTCTGTAATCACTCCTAAGGTCAGGGTAAATATGATCTTCTGGCGTCAGGGAAAGTAAAGATGGCCGACATCGATCGTTCCCTCTCTGTCGTCTTCACGATGTTTACTTAACGAGCGGCGTCGGAAAATCTGACTCAGCAAAATCTGAATCTGTGTGTGTGTGTGTGTGTGTGTGTTTAGGGCCTGGGGACCACGGACAGCATCCTCATCAGAGTGATGGTCTCCAGGGCGGAGATCGACATGTTGGACATCAAGGCGGAGTTCCTGAAGATGTACGGCAAGACGCTGCACTCCTTCATCAAGGTGAGCGCCACATCCTAGGGGGCGTGGCACCGTGTCAGTCAGCCGAAGGCCGAGGCAGCGCGTCAGCGGTTCTGACGAATACATTTGTAGATGAGTCTGTGTCTGTCTCTGGTCTCTGCAGGGGGACACGTCTGGAGACTATCGCAAGATCCTGCTGGAGCTGTGTGGAGGCGAGTGAAGAAGAGGAGCAGACGACGACCACCACCACGACCACGATGACGACACAACGTCGTCTTTTACTCTGTCTGTTTGTTTTTTTTCCATGTTGATTCTCACGCGGCCTCACATTTCACTAATTGACCTCCGCGCCTCGTTGTTTTGTGATTTAAAGCAAAGATTTGTTACCTTTTACACTCGATTGTGTTTCCCTTCATTGATTTTAACATTAAGGACTGATTCATGGCAGCAGTCAGAGAAAAAAACAAGGGTGCAGTAAAGTGGAGGCCAAGGAAGTTTAACGATGATGTCGGTGGAGCTCAGTCACAGCGTTACCGAAGGTGACCGCCAGGGGGCACCAGAGAATTTAGTGTCTCAGGTTGTCTCAGTGAGAGCAGCAGTGGACGGACGTGGACGTGGACGTGGACGTGGTTCTGTCAGTCTGTGAATGGAGCTCGTCAGAACTCTTTGTTTCTCTGTCCCTTCATCTGAGTTCCTGTTCCGTCCTTGAACACGGCGTCCGCAGTCGTGTTCAAAAACACGTTTATTTTCTGAGGACATGAAAGGACGAGGACGATTGTGGTTTTCATTCATCAGGAAGAATCAGAGCTTCTCTAATTAGGATAGAAATTAGACGGAAAATAAGAGTTTTTTGTTGTTTTTGAGCAGCAGTGGACGGACGTGGACGTGGACGTGGACGTGGTTCTGTCAGTCTGTGAATGGAGCTCGTCAGAACTCTTTGTTTCTCTGTCCCTTCATCTGAGTTCCTGTTCCGTCCTTGAACACGGCGTCCGCAGTCGTGTTCAAAAACACGTTTATTTTCTGAGGACATGAAAGGACGAGGACGACCGTGGTTTTCATTCATCAGGAAGAATCAGAGCTTCTCTAATTAGAAATTAGACGGAAAATAAGAGTTGTTTTTTTTTGTTTTCTTGGCTCTGACATTAAATAACTTCACATTCACTCTGTGTACTCAGTGAGTACTGCAGGTACAGAGTACTGCAGTATGTACTAGTAAACACAGTGTATTTAAAACCAACTCTTCAGTCTGTTCTGGAAGAACTGACGAAGAGTTGATGCCTGAACTGGACCAGGACCAGAACCAGAACCAGGACCAGAACTAAGACCAGGACCAGAACCAGGACCAGGACCAGAACCAGAACCAGAACCACAACCAGAACCAGGACCAGAACCAGGACCAGGACCAGAACCAGGACCAGGACCACAACCAGAACCAGAACCAGAACCAGGACCACAACCAGAACCAGGACCAGAACCAGGACCAGGACCAGAACCAGGTCAAACTAAGGTCCAGGTCACAGAGGTCCAGCTGAGCCAAATTATATTATTTTAATTCTTTTTTTTCCATTCCATATTAATCATTTGGATTTTGTCAGAAATAAAAACAGCTGTAAAAAAAACACACTCTGAACGTCCAGCTGCTGTTACTGATTCATCACGATTATTCATCTACATATATGTAAATATATATATTAAAATACATTGTTTTTGATTTCGAATAAACTCCAGTGCTGTTCCCTGATTTTCTATTCTGTGAAAGTAGGTTAGTCCCAGACTGAGGACACCAGTGTGTGTGTGTGTGTGTGTGTGTGTGTGTGTGTGTGTGTGAACGAATGTGAGAGAAATTGTTATTCCAAGGTCAGTGTGAAGACCAGGTCCCTCAGAGACTGAGACTCCAGGAGGAAACCAAAAACTGGAGATTTAATGTGTAGGGAATGAAAAAAAGAAACAAAAAACAACAACAACAACAACAACAACAACGACACATCAGAGCGTCACCGCAGCAGGAGACGGAGACCTGAGGTGAGTCTGTCCAGGACAGATCCAGAGACACACAGAGAACAGACGCTGACTCTCCTCCTTCTGTGATTGGTCGATACATTATCCAATGTTTTTCTTTATGGACTGGATGGGTTTTTTTATGTGGTCCACCAGTCTGGGCTGCTCACTGCCAAAACAGTGGGCATCGACCAGACATCGGTCCAGATTTTTGTTCCAAATTTAGTGACTGTGTCCACGGAGGTTCACGAACAGAATCAACACAAACGTCAACACAAAAAATAATTTGATTCAAATGTCACTGTTTTCTACAGCAGGAAACAGACGACAACAGACGACAACAGACAACAACAGATGACAACAGACGAAAACAGACAACAACAGACGACAACAGACGACAACAGACGACAACAGACGCTGTGAAATTCTCCACTTCTGTTAATAATGACTGACTCCTACAGCAGGTGGCGATAATGCCCCATGTAGGAATTTCCGATCTGTTATTAATGACTGACTCCTACAGCAGGTGGCGATAATGCCCCATATAGGAATGATGGGTATTAACTTTTTGCCGATATCCGATATGCCGATATTGTCCAAACACTTAATTTCCGATTCCGATATCAAACGATACTGATATATAGACCTGGTAATATTGATTTATTTATCTGTCTTAATTAAATGAGCTGCAATGCTGCCATCTAGTGGCTTTCACGTTAATATACAGCCGTTTTTCCCCAAAACTATTTTTAGGGCACACGACGTTTGGCGAAACCCAGGCGTTGCGTTATTGGGTTTTCATTATTGGAGAAAAAAATATTAGCGATTCTTACATAATTATGCTAATATCGGGCCGATAATATTGGTCGGCCGATGTTATATACATATATTTATTAGGGCAAGGATTATAATTTTTAATCTCAATTAATCGCATTGTTACTCAAAATCCAATAACGAATTCAAAATGTATACTGCACATATATCTGTGTATATATACAGTACATATATACAGTACATATATACAGTACATATATACAGACATATATACACACACATATGTATAACCGTCTCTAGATTTCCTCTTTCAAAAATCGTAGGTAACGTTACCTAATGTATTCAAATTAGATAACAGAAAAATATATATATATATAATATAAACGTCGACTCCCCGTGAACCAAAAGAAATCAGACTTCATTAAAAACCAAATCAGCCCTCACTGTTCTCTAATTGTCCGTCTTTTGTCACAAAAACGCTCCAATTAATCCCACAATTTAGCCGACAAACGAGAAAATGAGAGAGTTTAGGCATCAGTGTGTGTGTGTGTGTGTGTGTGTGTGTGTGTTTTCTTTCCTTTTTTGTCGACCGTCATCACAGTCTGAACCTTTTCAACATCTCGTCACCGAGATGTTGTGTTTGAAATATCTGTTGACAGGCAGGTGGAGCTGTTTCCACTGGTGCAGATCTGCACAAAAAAACAACTCATTTTTGCTGGAAAGCACTTCAGCGGCAGATGAACCCACGACCGAGTCTGTGACAACAGGACGACAGACGAGGACGGTGGTCAGTGTTTATATTGACTATTGTTGTTGGAAATACATTTTTTTCAAACAGCGCTGCTGCTGGTGAATAGTGGTATTACGTTTTTTGACGCTAAAAATGCTAGCTTTTTTTATTCTAGTTGATTCTGAATTGACTTTGTTCAAGTATTAAGTTCATAAAATATATTTCTCTGAGCGAACTCTAAGTCAACATAAATAAACAACAACTTTTTAATTTAAAGTTTAAAGTCCATGGATGCTAATGCTAATCAATAGTTAGCATAAAAGTCGAGTCCAGACGTCGTCGCTGTCAGATTAGCCGCAGACGCCGGGCGATGTTAATGGGTGACAACAAAGACGCTAAAGAACCTTCGGTGATAACGATGAGATAACGACGTAAACATCGGTTCCTTCAACAGTTCTTTGTATCCACAGTTCAAATGTTGTTTCTAACCGTCCGGTTGCCCCCCCCCCCCCGTGGCCCCCACGCTGCAGGTCACCATAGTAACAGCTATTAGTTCAGTAATCCTTACAAACCCCTGAGACATAAAGAAAGAAAATGAATTACGCTTGTGTCCACCCCCTGTAGTCAGGAATGTTTTGAACGTTCCGTATCAGTGGAGGAAGATTTAGTTGCGTACTTACGCTACATCACTTTAGCCATTTTTTCGTTGTTTCGTAAGAACTGCAAATTACTGCGTAAATGCAGTCATTTGATATTTGTACTGAAAGCAGCAAATCCTGTCTTTAATTTCCGACTCCTCCATGAATTAAAGGCTAATTTTCCCGGTGTGAGGAAATGAAGATCAACTTAATGGAATGCTAACGTAAAGGTTCCGCTTCACTTAAGGTGGAGAGAGAAAAAAAAACTGCAAACGCGTTTGTGATTAAAGGTCGCGTTCGCGTTCTGCAGTCGTTGAGTTGTCGTAGCTTCGTTCTGACATTTTCAACTGGAACATTAAAAAAAACAAAAAAAAAAACAACGACGACCAAGTGTGTAATTAATCTGAGCTCACGATGTTCCAGAGACGAGACGTTTGGATTGGTTGACGTGAGCTGTCGTCGCCGTCATCTGTTGTTGTTGTTGAGTTCAGACGGAACATCCAGAACTTCAGACCAAACCTTGGTTAGTGGACCTGGGACGGACCAACAACCTTTATGTTTGAAAAAAAAAAAAAAGAAATCTTTTTTTAAAACGATAAAGTGAAAATTCTTCAACATGAAGATGATGAAGATGATGAAGGACTGATGATGTCATCGTCTCCTCTCTGACCAACGGTTTCTTCTCTGGTCACTCCAGGTCAGACATCATCAGTCGATCCAACCGCGAGGTGAATCATTTGGAGATGAGGGTCGGGGAGAGGGGGAGTGGGGTGAGAGAGGGGGGAGTGGAGGTGAGAGAGGGGGAGTGGAGGTGTGTGTGTGTGTGTGTGTGGGGGGGGGGGGATTGTCATTTCCATTGGTTTAGAGACCATTTCCACAGACTCTCTCTCCCTGTTTCTCCCTCACTCCTGCCACCTCTTGTCCATCAGCGTGGCGTGCCTCACCCCACTCCCTCACCCCACTCCCTCTTCCTCCTACTCCAAAAAGCATCTCTTATCATTGTCACCTACACTTTTGGGTCGCTGCTTGAATCCTCTCATCCTTGTCTCCCTTCCTCTCTCCCCTCTTCCTGACTCTGATTCAGCCTCAGTTGTGTACAGACGCTCAGCGATCGTCCGCTCTTCTCACTCTCACTCTTCGTACGGCGGGGACGTAACACCAGAGGTGAGTCACGGCACCATCGTCCATGAACCATGTGCACGTCTCTCGTCACCTTGTACCTCATTGTGTTTCTCTTGCGTTGAAGTGCAGATGGTTGTGTTGTTGTTGTTCTCCGTTGTTCTTCAGGAACAGACGCTCGGTTCCTGGTGAAGTGACCGAGCTGTGATTGGTTCAAATCCTCCACAGAACTTCATGTCACTGGTCTTTAAGGCGGACCATGTGAACAGAGGAGTGGAGCTGGTCAGACCAGTGACCACAGAGTTGACAGAGGATTAACTAATTAGTAGCATTAAGTATTTTTCATCTCGTCTCATCGATCACCTGCCGTAGAAAATACTCTTCAGATTTGGTGGAACTTTAACTAAAATCCCTTGGCAGTCGAGAGAATGAAGGTTCTATCGTGGATTTTTTTTTCCTTGTGTTTTTGCCAAAGCAGTGAAAAATGAAACTCTTTGAACACTGAAGTGTTCTGCATTAAAACGCTGCCCCCTAGCTGCACTTAGTATCGATCGTTTGTCTCGTGCACCTGCAGCTACGATTATTTACAACAGCAGCGAAACAATAAAAGTCAGAGAAAAGTCGGAACGAGGTAAAGATCACCTTTCTGACAATTAGTGGTTAACGCTAATAATTCACCACCGACTGACATGGTCTGTGAACCTCATCAACTGACATGGTCTGTGAACCTCACCGACTGGCATGGTCTATCTACCTCATCAACTGACATGGTCTGTGAACCTCACCAACTGACATGGTCTGTCTACCTCATCAACTGACATGGTCTGTGGACTTCATCAACTGACATGGTCTGTGAACCTCACACTGATGTCTGGGTTTAATAGTGGGTCACAACCAACGGTTTTAGATGCATACTGCCACCTACTGGACTAGAGTGTGTAGTGTCGTGGTATGACCAGTGATTTTTAGAAAACACAGCCTACTGCTAACACCTTGATGTGCGATTAAATTTTTTTATTTCAACCGACTGCGTAAAATGTCGCCCATTCGTATCGATTTTTAACCGATTCACGATGCATCGTTACGTCTTCACCTTTGTGCTGTCCTTCCCAGAAGACGATGTTTTCAAAGTTGTCAACGTCTAAGAAAAAGACTCAACGACAGGAACTTCTCATCAACAACTCGGGGAAAACAGAACCAAAGTTAAAGGGACAACCAGGGAAATTTGATGGTGACATCAGATTTTAAACACGTTTTCTCACGGTACTGAGAGTCAAGTCCGTTCTTCTGACTCTGAGCCGTCACCAGAACCTCTTAGTTATGACGTACTTTTAAAGTCACTGCCGATGCCCAAAAAAACTGTATCGTACAGAGAGCGTTCTCCTCATAATGAGAAGAACCAGCGACAGTTTCCGACCCTGCATTAAATTTAGCCTCGCAGCCCATTTTCAAGTGACATCACACGTGAAACGCTGCACGGGAGCGTGAAAAACCAAAGTCTGAAAATGAGTGTGTGTGTGTGTGTGTGTGTGTGAGTGCTGGAAGGTTCCACTGACTTTGTGGTAACTAGAAAGAAAAGAAGTGACTTTTCTGCAGTACTTGTTCTTTGGTCTTTGGAACTGTTGGATTTTCTCGTCGATTTTCTTGTTGGATTTTCTCGTAAATAAATCAATAAATCAATCAATAAATAAATCAATAAATCAATAAATAAATATTACCAGGTGCTTAGTAGTATTTTAATTCAGGGTGGGGGGGTTAAAAAAACTTCTGTCCTCTAGGGGGTGCATGTCATAAAATAATTATAATAAACACTGCTTTAACCCGTCACCTTAGTGAGCAGGCTGCACTTCACTTCCTTAACCACCAGGGCACCACATATCAGTATCGGTTGATATTGGAATCGGAAACTTAATTTTTGGACAATATCGACATATCGGCAAAAAGTTCATATTGGAGACCCCTAGTGTTTAGTAATGAAAATGAAGACTTGTATTATTATTATTTGTCTTTGAAATAATGAAACCTGTTTCCTCTGGTTTGTCAAGAATCAAATCTGGACGCGTCTCTGTTTCTCAGTAAACTAACTTTTTTTTTAATTGATAAAAATGTTTCAACCTCGATTCAAACCCAGCTGTGAGTCTTTGAATGTTTCTCCGACAGAGACCCCGCTCCAAGGCAGCCATGGCGGAGAACCACAGCAGTCCAACAGGAAGTACACAACCGTCGGTGTCGGCGGAACAGACGGAGGGACTCGTGTTTGAGGTTGCCGTGCAGAACAGCTCCTCCAATCACAGCTCCCAGTTCGCGGACGTGGCTCTCCTGCAGAAGTTCAAGCCTCTGATCATTCCCTGCTACGTCCTGGTGGTGGTGGTCGGCGTCTTTGGGAACTACCTGCTCCTCTACATCATCTGTCGAGCCAGAAAGATGCACAACGTCACCAACTTCTTCATCGGGAACCTGGCCTTTTCCGACATGCTCATGTGCGTGACCTGCATCCCCTTCACGCTGGCCTACGCCTTCAACCCCCGCGGCTGGGTCTTCGGCCGCTCCATGTGTTATCTGGTGTTCCTGATCCAGCCGGTCACGGTCTACGTGTCGGTCTTCACGCTGACTGCCATCGCTGTGGACAGGTGGGTGGAAGTGTCTGTGCTGCGACATGGCAGCCACTCACACCGGCTGGAGGAAAAATGAATCAAACCGTACTGTGTGTTGACAGAACTGTGGGTGTAACTCGTTAATGGGTTCATTTAAATGAGCAGAAAATAATCATGAAAACTGTTGAGACGACAAACTCTGTTTAGATTAGTTAGAACTAATTTAGTGAGTTTGTGTGTGTAGATATGGATGGATGGACGGTTGGATGGATGGTTGGAGGGACGGTTGGATGGACGGTTGGATGGACAGTGGGATGGATTGATGGTTGGATGGGTGGATGGACGGTTGGATGATGGATGGTTGGATGAGTGGATGGTTGGATGAATGGATGGGTGGTTGGATGGACGGTTGGATGGACGGTTGGATGGACGGTTGGATGGATGGTTGGAGGGACGGTTGGATGGACGGTTGGATGGACGGTTGGATGGATGGTTGGAGGGACGGTTGGATGGACGGTTGGATGGACGGTTGGATGGACAGTGGGATGGATTGATGGTTGGATGGGTGGATGGACGGTTGGATGATGGATGGTTGGATGAGTGGATGGACGGTTGGATGAATGGATGGATGAATGGATGGATGGATGGTTGGGGGGACGGTTGGATGAATGGATGGATGGATGAATGGATGGTTGGATGGATGAATGGGTGGATGAATGGATGGGTGGATGGATGAATGGTTGGATGAATGGTTGGATGGATGGCTGAGTGGATGGTTGGATGGCTAGATTATAAATGGACTATAGTCACTTTAGGCTACGTAGGAACGTGACGTCTTGGTTTAATAGCTGAATCAGTTTTAGTCACATACTGCCACCTACTGTACTAGAGTGTGTAGTGTCATGGTGTGACCAGTGACTTTTTGAGGTAATGCGGCCTACTCAACCAGTGCTAAATTGCCACGCATTTGTATTAATTTCGAATCGATTCACGATGCATCCCATACGGCAGAGACAGATCCACTGAACCACAGTCTCCACAGAAGATCGGGTTTTCACTCAACTACATTTTCGTCAGGACATTTCGTTACTTCTTCCTCGTAATGACGTAATCATTAGCAGTTTTCTGAAGGGCCGTTCTCTCGCTCCGAGTCCTTACTTTTCTTCTCGTCCCATTTTAATTCACAGTATTAACGATATCGTCTGCATCACTTGTTTTGCAGATATTACGCAACCGTTCATCCGCTGAAAAAGCGCACCACCGTGGGTATGTGCGTCTCCGTCCTCACTGGTATCTGGCTGATGTCCTGCGGCCTGGTGGCCCCAGCTATGACCCACACTTACCACGTGGAGTTCAAGGAGGAAGGCTTCACCATCTGCGAGGAGTTCTGGTTGGGCCAGGAGAAGGAGCGGCGCGCGTACGCCTACAGCACCCTGATCATCACCTACGTCCTGCCGCTGTCGGCCGTCTTCGTCTCCTACCTCTGCATCACAGTCAAACTGAAGAAATGCGTCGCGCCGGGCCTCAGGTCCAAAGACCAGACCAGCATTCATCAGGCTCGCAAGAGGAAGATCTTCCGCCTGGTGGCGCTGTTGGTGTCGGCCTTCGCCCTGTGCTGGCTGCCCATCCACGTGTTCAACGTGCTGCGAGACATCGACATCCAGCTGATAAACAAACGCTACTTCCTCCTCATCCAGCTCCTCTGCCACCTCTGTGCCATGAGCTCATCGTGCTGTAACCCTTTTCTCTACGCGTGGCTACACGACCGCTTTCGCAACGAGCTGCGGGCGATGTTCAAGCGCCAGAGACGTTGACGCATCGGCGCGCCTGCCAATCACTGTGCCCCCAATGTGGTCTTTTAATCTCGGTAATTAAACCACTGACTTGGCAGTTTGATAACATCGGTTCTCTATCTTCATTTTAAGAGGGGGAGGGGGTGAGGAAGAGGAGCG